AAACGAGCACATTTTGCAAGGGGGGGGGGGCGTGTTTGTTATTTTGCTGACAAGGCGGAAGTGGCAAACCTTGCAGCACTTCACGTTTTCAAAAAATAAAAATATCTTGGCGTTTTAAGACATTTTGACCTTTAATGTTTTGGAATCTTAGGTTTGATTCCCGTTATCAGTACAGTTTGTCCAGAAAGTAGAAACTAGCTCGTGCTGCACAAATATAGCCATTTGTTGAAAGCTACAATTAATTCAAGTACTGTTCTTAAATACAATTGAGGTACTTGAGTATTTATATTGAACACACAACAGATCAATAATGAGCCAGTAATTAAGAAATGGGCCATTATTCATGATGAACATTTACTTTTGGTAAGTCAAGCATATTGTCATGAGTAATACTTGCATACATTAATAGGTTTCTGTTTGACATTTGCTTTTAAACAGTATTTCTTAAGTTTTATTATTAATTAAATACTCTCTCCCCCCCACTATTGTATATAGCAGGGAATTTTATAACCTTCAATTTAAAATGATTTGTCATAACAGTACCATCCATCTACTTCATCAGTTTTTGCCTAGCATGGATTAAAAGTTGTGATGCAGCAGAACCCTACCCCAAATATGCATCTGAAGTTTTATGCTTATCCATTCATCCATCACATTTTGACCCATACTTTCTTGGGAGTCAGTCTAATCAGGTCTCAAGGCTTCTAATCACTCATGTTACAAACTGATTTAAAGTGTCAGCATGCATGCTTAAGAGCAATAACAGCAGATTGGGAACCAAAGATTGTTTTATTTAATTCAGAAGGTACAAGTTATGTGCCAATATATGATTAACAAAAAACACACCTCATTTCAAATATTAAAACATTTAAAACCACTGACAATTACAAAAGAGTACATGTGGACATTATGCAGTGGCATTTGTTGTACCAAAAAATAAAAATGCATTCAATATCAAAGCTGTAATTATCAAAAAAAAACAAAAAACAATCCAATTCCTCACATTCAGATAAACTGGCCGTTCTGTTCATTAATAGGGTGCGGCTTTCTAAAAAGGCCTACACTTTCCATAACTGCACAAAAATAAGAAATTAAATCACTTCTACATCAGTGACAGTCTGGTTCACCTTGCCTGAAATAAAATTATTAAATGCTCGTCGTAAAAACCACTGTTGAAGAGTTGAAGGAACAAGACTTTACAACAGCTCATTCATAAAGAACTACCTTCAGTCCAACAGTGGTAGGGCACATAGTCAAATCTAAACCACCTACATGAGGCGTAGGATGCTCTGGAGTCTGCTGCAAGAAGAAAACCACATGCCATGTGTGCAAATCAATTGGCTCTGACTGTAATGACTAAAAGCAGGAGTGCGTTGCTCTGTAGTGGTAGTGTAATCCACACTGCAGCACCAAACCTGCAAGACAAACAGTGTCAGGAAGACTCAGACTTCAGGCCACATCTCCACTACTGTATACATTCAAGATGTAAAGAGACTTTAAGTTGAGTCATGGATGTCACACATACATAAATTCCAGTGTGGCTTATATCATTAAGGAGGTTGCAACATAATGACAGTTGTAGTGTACAGAATCACAGTAAAGAGAGGTTTATTTGAGGTCAATACCTTGTCCTACCTCAGGTTTCATTTGGGAATTCCAGCCACCATTTCAGACTCAATACCACAGTGATCTGATCCACGAAGGATTTTAAAGTAGCCTGAAGACCAAAGAAAAAAAACAAATGGGCAAAGTATTAGCTAATAGATAAAAAGAACAGCTCTGGCCCAAGACCAACAATTTCTTAGAAGTGTGAATTTTGTATCAACTTTAGGACCAAAGCACATTTGGGGGCGGCTGCGGCTCAGGAGGTAGAGCGGGTCATTTCCTAACCGGAGGATTAGCGGTTCGATTCCCGGCTTGTCCAGTCAACATGTCGATGTGTCCTTGAGCAAGACACTGAACCCCCAGTTGCTCCCGGTGATGTCACCGGTGTGTGAATGCGCGAGTGCAAATGGCCGAATAATGTGAAAGCGCTTTGAGTGTGCTGTAAAAGCATAGAAAGGTGCTATACAAGTATAAAACCATTTACCATAAATATAGTGGTGATTTACTGGTATTTAACCTGTAGTCAAGAAGTAGTCATTAAATTTGTAGGAGCACCACAATGCAAAAAAAAAAAAAAGTATCACCTAAAATGTACTTTGGTATCGAGGTTGAACGGTACCAATTTAGATTTAAAATATTCCTGTTGAGATCATTAATTTAGCAGCCTACATGTGTTATTTAATGCTGTATGGAACAAAATTAGCCATCTATTTTCAGAGAATTAAGTCCCAGCAGTTTATTCACTACAGCCCTGCAGAGTCTCTTTATGAAGATTCTAGTTTTTCTGACAGTTTAAGAGAAATGTTCATTCAGCTGACTGCATTGCCGTTACTGGAGTGTTTACAATATTACATTCCCTGCATGCATATAAACAGGAAGGCTACCTTTTAAATTGGAGACTGATAGTCAAAATGTAGTAAACCGCACGTCAGCTCACCATTATCACCCCAGTCGGTGTTCCAGGAGTTGGCACAAAGCCAGTAGGGAACACCATTCTCCACCCCCCAGCCCAGGACCTTGATGGCATGGCCACCCACAGCAGACCCAGACACATGTTGATACACACCTAAAGAAAGGGGGGGGGGGGCGCCAAACAAAACACACAGGAAGGATCAGCGAGTGTATGAGAATGTCAGAAACAACATTTTACAGAGTCATTAAGTGAAGTCTGCAATCGGCATTTATCCTCTGCTCAAATACAAGTGTTTATGCTACATCTGTCGGTCAGTGGTGCACGCAGTCTTACCGGACTTGTACATCACAAAGTCCTCATACACTGTAAAGGCTCCTTCCACCGGGCCATTCTTGTAAATCTCATACTGAATCTGCTCCTCAATCGCTGGCACAGTGTAAGACGTTTTACCTGCAACACACACACACACACACACACTGAGTCAGGCACCCCTGCTGCATGTGTGTACACAGCTGTGCTCACCATCACATTTGCCTGTTAGACATTCATGAATACTACCAAGATTTGAGTACCAATATGGAGGTTGACTAATTTAGCAATGGCTAAAATTCACTTGATCAAGCACATTTACACAAATTGTCTCTTATTAAATATTGAGATAATCTATATAAAGTGTGCTCCAGTTCAGTCTGTTTAATATTATCTTAATCATTGGTGCAACTACTAAAATCAAGTCACAGCCAAGTTTTAACAGCCAATATAAAAAGTGACAATTTTAACAAAGTGAGAAACATCTTTCCTGCAGTTCAAATGTTAGACATGAACTGTTAATGATGGCATGCTTAACCCTCTCTAATCCTCATTTAGAGAAATCAAAAGTTTTCCTTCCATTACCATAATGCTTGTCCTCCTTGTAGCTGGGTGTGTATCCGGTTTCACACATTTGGACACACTGGGGTGTGTCTCCACCCTCTCCAGTGCAGGAAGGCCTGCTTCCATTAACATGGTGCTCACAGGGCTCGATGGTGTAGGGCCGGCAACCTGCAGACAAAGACTGTGTCAGAATTGTTGAAGTCAGAGTACATCCCAGTTCCCTTACCTACAGAAAAGTATGCTCTCACTTGCATCTTTTCCTGGTGTGTTTTTCCTCCATGTATGATGTGAGGAAAAGATGCAAGGAGAAAGTGTGAGTAGAGAGAAATCAAGGAAACATATTTTAGAGACAGGGGACACCCTTCATCTGAAGCATCCAATAACTAACTGATTTTTGATACAGGAGCATGTCAGTCCACAAGATGTCTGTGAAGGATGCTCTTCAAGGTGACAGCCCAGAATGACTTCCACACCGAGCATCAAACAACAATTAAATAAGGTAACTGGGATATACCCATTCTTACACACACACACACACACACCCCAACTCACCTATGTGGGAGTTATAGAGACCTCCAGAGACCAGTCCCTCATTGGTCCAGAAGTTCCAGGCAGCTCCAGGGTAGCCACCATTACATCTTAAACACAAACACGCACATGAACCCCAAATATTTCCACCTTGACTGACAGTACTGGGGATAAGGATTTAACTTCTCCCCTCTTCTACCAACTCTCAGTACTGCATATTGGATCAGTGTGTTCCTATATTCAGATCATTCTTTACTGAGCCATCAACCCATATAATTTTCTCAAATTATATGCCCCGCAATTCAAAGCGGCAACAGTAAACTTTGCTTCTGAGTTCAAATGTACAGTCCACATCCTGTACAGTGATCACTGCAGTCATCTAACACAGAAAAGGAGTGAAACTGTTCTTACCCCATGCCACAGCTGTCACAGCAGGTCAGCAGATCCTCGGAGGATATCTCCACATTGACCTTGCCCTTGCTGTGGATACACACACGGTCGGAGATGGCCTCTGCAGCACCAAACGCCTGTTCCCAAAGAAACAATACATGTCACAAACTACTAAGAGCAGGGAAGCAGTCTAGATGTGATAAAACAGCAATTAAGTGAGGTTACACTCAATAGTTGGCTAAACATTAAAAAGGACACAACCAGAAATATCTGGCAACATGACCATCACTTCCATTAAAAGGATCTGTGAAGAGGTTCTTCTTATGTGCATTGAGGTGTCATAATGCTGAGTGTTTCTCTCACCCAGCAGGACCCACAGGAGCCCTGGTCTCTGATCTCCTTCAGAGTGGGACAGTCAGGCCACTGATCTCTGGAGTCAAATTCCTGAGGCAGCTTCAAGTCTCCAGCATACTGAATCCTGCAGAGGAAAACATGGTAGAGTCCAGGACTACTTTATGAACAAGGTGCATGTATGATCAGAGGGCTATAAAACACAGCACAATCTCACCGATACTGTATCTGAGTGTTAATGAATAAACTGAACTTGATCTCATACATTTCACACCCACTAACAGACTGCAAAAAAAGAAACTCACATGACTGGCAGTTTAGGCCCCTTCAGCATTGTACCGCAGAGTTTCTGGACATAACTGTAGTCAGCATTATGGAAGTTGTGGCCAGCCTGTAGCAAGAGAGGGAGATTTAGGAAAACAGATCTGCTTATACCCATTGTCGAACATCTAAAGTAAGCAAAAACACCTCACCTTCCAGGTCGTGTTCATCTTATTGATGTAGTTGATCATGTCACTGGATAGTGGGTGAAAGCTGGGTCTGGCCAGGCTCACAGACAAGCTGGCAGCCAGTACCAAGAAGGCTGCGTGCCACATTGTATCTGCGAGATTCAAAATGAAGGAGACATGATGGTTATTCGCATGAGATGTGAACTGCTGTCATTTTGATTGACTATGAATATTTACATAAATTACTTCTAATAAAGACAAAATGAGGGTTTTCTTTAACTTTCAAGCATAAAAGCTGAATGATTACCACATCTCAAAAAACAAAGCATGTAGTACTTAAACCCAAAATGAATGCAGACAGACAAACTCAGTGAGGAAAGACTAACACTTGTAATGAGTACAAGACTGAGACAATGTAAAGTTTGAACAAGTTATTCCCCACTTTCACATTCTCTTAAAACAAAACCATTCACAGCCGACTAGGCAGCGTTGTACAGAGAGCACCTCTTATACTCCATGCTTGTCAGAGTCCATTCCAGTGGTTAACCAGGTGGCATCAGCACACATGTACAGTAACAGTCCACCGATTTCAACTACTTCACTAGATTAAAAACCTACATGTACTTTGTCTTTAATCCTGAACAGTGGGAGCAGAGAACTAAAGCCTTGTGTATCTGACAGACACACAGGTAGAAATGCTGACCAATGAATCATTCCACATTGTGGAACTTGGTCTTCTAGACTGCCTGTGCTTTCTTCGGCATACTGTTACACTTCTTTTCACAAGAACAAAAGCCAGTCTTGTCAGGTACCTCTAATGTCCACCCACCTGTTTGAGCACACTGCATGCATCTTAAGCAAACAAAAAAGCAGAAATGATTCCAGCGAAAAACACCAAACGTCTGATATCACATGAGTGGGGCTGATGAAAAGCTGTCAGCAGAAAAGTGCAGAGGAAGCAATAACAGAAAATTCCTCTTTACAGGGAAACGGTTCTTCTCACACTGACGTACCACCACTCTTTCTGCAAAACAGGGTCTTGAAAGTCCTCAACCTTCTTTGATATCACAATTAATTCACAATAATCTAAGCAAAATAGTCTGTAGTGATTTTCTTGGCTGGGCTTTAGAAGTGCACTTTCAGCCACTAGGTTCTGGTAGAAAGACTTTACTGGGGGTGAACACATTATTTTAAATTCTATTGCATGTGCTGGAAACCATTAATATTTATTGCTGTGAAACATACATGTGCTGCAGCATGAGGGCATACATGGGTAAAAATGTTCTAATCAAACCACAAACCAAGGAGGCAGGTTTTAAAAACATGAACGCTGTCAACCGCTCTCAGCTTTTCTGGCTGTTTCAGCAATTGGGAGAATGACGAAAAGGCCCACATGTCAGACGTAGGATGGTGCAAGTTTTCTTTAAGAGAAGTGGTTCCAAAAAAATGAAGTGCAAAATCAATATGCTGACATGCAGCACCTCTGTCTCAAGTCAGTTACCTTCAATATAGCTCTCCTGCAAAGACTCATTAACTTGCTGAGTCATCGTGTGGGTTTTCTGTGGCCCTACCCTTACATCTCCGAAATGTCAGATTCTCAGATCTGTTTGTCCTGCTTCAGAAAAGCCAGGGGTTGTGAAATGTTTCCCATGTGGGAGGTTTCAGATCAAGAGAGACGGTAACCAATGACCTTCCCATGTTGACGCCTACAGTTCTTATTATACTGTGTCTTTCCATCTACACTAAACATAACAGTGATCTGCATTTGTCCTCACTGAAGAAAAAGCCTCAAAACAAGGGCTGTACTTTAGCTGGGACTAAATAATAATCTAATGTTTGTGATGACATGACATCACGTCACGTCTTTACTGTGTTCTTCCAGTGCAGAAAATACTAAGTGTTAAAGTCTAATCTTTCATCTGTACATCCTCACATATGAGGAATTAACACTTTCATTTTGTCTGCACATTTAATCAACAAATCAGCATGAACTCTGTAGCATCACATAAATCTGGCTGCTTTGTTCCTTGGTGTGCCAACAGAAAAACACTTCCCCATTGTTTGTGATCTAACTGACTGGAAATAATATGAAGACTAGTTTAATCAATTACTTTAAAAAAAAAAAGCATCCATGTCTGTTTTCCCGTATGTTTTCAATTCTTTTGCAGGAATGGGGGCAGTTCTGGAGGCTGTGTGTATATACACACAGAACACTTTAGTTCTCTCAGGGTTAGTTTCTTTCTGCTGTATCACAGACATGTTTATAACAAAAAAAAAACCTGTCTCTACACGTCTGCCTTTTCTAAAACAGGACAGAAAATGCAGACTACAAATATCATAAAACCTAGTTTCACTTTCTATTTCCCTGTTGAAATGTGTACCACTGTTCAGTATTATGTTTCACATTTGTTTTAACTTGAGCTATGCAGTTATCCCCCCATGATCAGATTTCATTGATCATTTTCATGCCCTGCTCATTAATTAACGAGACACATGTATGTTTCGACTAACGACCTCCTCTGTCTACGAAACTAAAAATAACTCACTAGTCAAAAACAACACTGAGCTTTGAAAACAAGTGCTGAAATGAAGCCTCAAACTGCTTTTCATATCAAAGCAATCACTGTCAACGCCAGATGTTAACCGAACATACCGTGAAACGCGCTCTCTTTGCGGGCTCAGACAAAATATAACATAGTTGGCTAATGCTAGCTAACGACATGCTAACAGCTAGCTGATGCAACGGAAACAACATGTAAATAACAAAACAAGAGACTTAAGGAACAATACACAAAAAATAGCTACCTTTAGTTTGTTTTTTCAGCTAGTAGTGTGAACGAGGTTGTAACGTCAGCCCCAGGTACCCCGACCCTGTGTCAGCCACTGAATAACATAAAGAGCGTGTGACCGTCCCTTTTATCATTGATCCTGAGACCACGTGAACCGGTCATATGAATGCGCCTCATGTGATCGGTAACTACTCAAACTGTGACCAACGCCCTTCCGCTTTAATCCGGTGTGTGGTGGTGGGGTTGGTTTGCAAGAACACGATGTTCTGAATCTGGATCTAACCAGGGAACACACACACAAAACACCTACAACTAAGAAGTTTGGTGCAATGAGACACAGTAACTGTTAGAGCTGCACTAATTTAATCTGACAGTAGGCGGCGCTGAAGTTTAGAAATGTTTTTATATTTATTTTTGCAGTAGAAATACTCCGATTGTTTACTGAACTAAAAGTATCAGTACCACGCTGCATACTATGCTCCAAGTAAAACTCTTGCATTCGAAATGTTACTTCAGTAAAATTACTGAAGTATTATCTTAATAAAATAAGTATCAAAAGTTTAAAAAGTCATTATGCAAGAACAGCACATTTCACATTAATGTATATTATATTAGGCTACTGGATTATAATGCATACTTATAATTTGAAGTGCTTTACATGCTGCTGAATATCAGTAAATTCTTATGTTTATACTGTATTTCGTTTTAATAATTTGATTATGAAAAGTACTGACAGTTATTAAATACTTGTAATGGAGTTGTTTTCATTTTGCTTATACTTGTTGTTGTCTCCTAACCCTTTGGGCTCCCGGGCACCTGGACCCGTGCCCAGTATCAGTGTTCCATTCATCATGAAAGCTATATTGTATTAGGCCAGATTTTAAATGACAATCCATGGCAATAGTGACCCAAAATCTGGGACATCATACACCCAAGTAATGAATAAAATATAATTAGTTAAAATGGAATTTTTAAATTCATATTTTTACCGAGTAAATATTCCAACATTCATTTGAAAAACATATATACCCTGTAAAATAAATACTCAGAGTGACACATAGCATAATGCTGAAGCCTTTCTAAAATAATGCATGGACAGCAATGTATACTATTATAATATCTGACTAATTTTATTTGAGCTATGACATCAATTTTATCTTGTGATTTGTGAGTGACTCTCTGGCTGCCGTGCTGTACTGTGGATCACTGACCACAGGGAACACAGTGATTGTCAAACTGCTTTCTCTTCCTGTTAAGAGTTTGTCACCTGACTTTCAAATTGATGAGATGGGAAAATGCTGTAAGCACAGCATACTGTCATCATTATTTTACCAAGCAAATTGCGTAAGAGCAGAAAGCTCATTTTAAAATGTAAGAGACTAAAACCACTTTCTTATTTAACCAGGCAGAGTGACCATGGTCAAGCTGTTCTTTCAGCACACTTAGTTATTTTTATTTTATCTTCTTATCAAGGATCCCATCCTAGGCACCATCAGAGAACAATGGGTCCACTGATGATAAATGAATCAAGTGTGATCAATAAGAAACAACACTCTGGGCTTTGATCATGACGAATGACTTTATTGTGTCACATCAATAGTTAATGACTCACTACCACCTACCACAGGTTTAGAGTTGAGGTGATGCATGTGGATAAATCATCCACTGACTGTGATGTTATAGTGAATCGACAAACTCCAGTCTGTCGATGAAAACGTAAAACTTCAGCACAAAACCAACTTGAAATCCTGCACAATGGCTGCCCACACATTTCATACCAGTAAATGTGAACAAATATAAAGAAGAACACTTTTAAAATACAACATTAGAAACACAATCACATAGTATTATACACAGCAGGTACACAAAGCCAATCATTCTGTACAAATACAAAGCAATGCACATACAGGAGCTGACTTACTGTGAGTCAAAGAGCTGATTCATGGTGATCACACCGAGGGATCGCTGCAGTCTAAAGCATGTGTGCAGATGTTTTTCATCGGTATACATATATACATTACATTCACTGACTTGTTGCTGTTGTGTAAACATAGGTTCTAGCATATGTTTTAACTACTGTAAGGTGTGTGTAATTCCAGTAAGTGCTTTACTTCTCTGTGGGAACAGACACATTTCTCTGCTTGCCTGTATGAGCAAGTAACATGCAGCGACTCCAGCTATCAGCAAGCTGCAGTGCATGGTTTGATAGAGCCAGAAGCACGTTTTTCTCTGCACTTGGTTGTATGAAGTGCAGTTTAGAGTATATTCTCAAGGTGCTGCCTATGCTTTATCACCTTCAAACATGAGCAACTCAGCTATGTAAGGGTTAATTACAGACACAGACATTATTTTGTTTAAAAACAAAGTAAATAAAACACTACAGCTGATAAAAAAAATAGAAAATTACAAGTGTTAAATGCCACACTGTGATTAAAAATTAATCAAAACATGATAAAATATTGATGTGAACAAAATGTGAAACCCTTAGCAGCACATTTGATCCCTTTCTTGAAACATTTCCATTCTTGACTAGTTTCCCTCCATCTGGTAGCTACATAATGAAAAGGTTTTGACATGAATAAATAAAAGCTCTGCTCAGTCATACAGCGAGCGAGTACACTTTCTCATGAGATAACAATTTTTTTCACATGAAAATTCAGTTTTTCTGAGACAGGAGTGAAGGATGATGCACAGGTGTGGATTTACAGCAGAAAGTTAGAGTTAAACAGTTACACATTTAACACTTTGCCCATTTTCAATTTAATTTTCATTTTAAAAATAATGTATGGTACAGTCCAGTGTAATGGTACATGTGTATTATTAAATGAGTCTAAAGGGCCACAGCTGAAGAACTAAGAAGAGGATGAGGGCCACCGAGTTCTGACCTTTTTCTCAGAATTCTGACTTTAAACTCAGAAGTCTGAAAAAAGTCAGAATTTTGAGAAGAAAGCTTTTTTGTACAGCCCTAATCCTGTTCCAAAGAACAACAACATAGATTTTAAGTCTGGATTATTTATTTCCACTGATTGTCTGCATCTGTTGAAGTTGTTTCTCATTTAGCATTAAACTGATAAGTTACATTTTGCCTACAGAAAGGAAAATGAGCCTTGGTATTGTCATAGCAGCTGGTTTCACACACAACGTTTGCACAGGTGCACAGTGCAAAAACACTGTTTCTAGATTTGCCTTGCATTAGTGCCATGAAGGGGTTATGAGAAAAAGAGTCCCTGAGCATATTCAGGTAAAAAGGCCTCCTTCCCTTATAACCCTCAGACATTTTGTGTCTCTTTTTGGTAGTTTTTGTGTTGCTTTTGCATCTTTTTGTGGTTATTTTGATTCTGTGTGTTGTGTTCATTTTATAGTTATTTGTAGTCTTGTTTAAAAACAATACACATTTAAAACAAGAAATATTAACAGTCACTTCACACAGAGGCTCAGCTCCAGGGTCCCCTGACCTCAGTCCACCCATGGTTAGTGCTCATCAGTAAAACCAAGTCATATAAATGGATGCTAACAAGAGAAAACTGTACTAAATGCTAACAATGAGGGTAGCAGACACAGTAAAAACTTTGACCTATCAATACACAGGTGGTGAATTAAAAATACTGGGGCCACAAGAATTTGGGACAATAGCTTAGTCAGAGAAAACAACATAGACAGTGAGCTAACAGTGAATGGAACTGACAAATGCTAAGACTGCAGTTCATTTTCATCCATCATCATTAATTCTTATCATCAGTCATACACTTCCCTTCTTTCATGAGTTAAAAAGAAACAAAAATGTGGCTATCAGAGGTGTTCATGACACTACATCCTCTCTGTTACAGACAAGAACATACATTCATTTATTATGTCCTGTAGAACGGGTCTGTTTGTTGTCCTCTAAAATTAGCCGTTTCTGTCACCTCATTTTTGGGAGGTCTAACATTACAAGAGTTGAGATCACTCTATATAAATATCTGATCACTAAAACAGATAACAGCAGGCATCAACAAATAAAGAAATATTAGATAAATGAAAATAAAAGGCCTATAATTATAGAAGCATCAGTTGATACTCCTTTTATAGGCTGCATTATTCTATAGTATGTTATTTTTCTATATTGTTTCATTTCACTTTGACAAATTCCTACATTATAATCATGGTGTATTTTGTAGAATTGCATGCTCCAGTCATTCTGGTGAACTTGAGTAGTACCTGTTCTGCTGTAAAGTGGTGACTGACTGAAATTACTGCATTTACAGTTCACATAAAAGTAAAACATATCATTTGTAAAATTTGTTCCTTCAGATCTTTGCTTTTATCACTTGTCTGTCTCATATTTAAGACAGACATATTTCACTATTTCACAAACTGTTTCTTTGTGTAATATGTGACAGTAATGTGTTTAAAAACCAACCATGTACTTACTGTTCTGTAAATACTGTGAGCAACTGACTGGATGAAAGAGCAGCTGCCCGGAAACTGGACGGGACGCACAACATCAAAAAGTTTTGTAAAAAAAACAATAAGCCTTTAAAAGAATAGTAAGAGCACTGACTCATAACAGATCAATGTTTTTTTAACAGTATCAGACTAATTAAGAAAGAGAGCCTGTTATCGTTGAGTGGCTTTACATGAGATTCTGCACAGCAGCTGTGCAGGCAGCATGTTCGGTTACTGTAAACTGCCTTAACCTCCTGGTTCATTTAGAAAATCATTTGTCAATGAGATCCAAGCAGCGTTTCACTAACTTGACCTTCATTCACAAACAACTATTTCAGTATCATAATAATTATGAACATTTCAATAATTTCTTTGCCGATAAGTTTCACCAGTTGTAAACTGACTTGACAAAACGAGGTTAGTTACTAACAGGGTTTTCTAAGTCACTGAATGTGATGCCACATTCATTAGCACCTGTGAAAGTTTTCCTCTGATGAGTAGCCCAGATTTAATCATCTGCGAATATTAATCCAAAACTTATAATCAATGCTTTACAGCAGCTAGTTATGAACGTAAAAAATACAAAAACTGACTTTTTTCCACAATTTGGAACAGACAATTCCTTTACTGTGGTTGTCGCTGCTAGCTGCTCCGATGGCTTGCACAGGAAGCAGACAGCCACGTGTCACCCAAATACACAAGGACTTTCTAAATGCTTCTTTTTCACCCGCCTACAAGGAGCATCTCATGTGAGGAGAATCCATGCATCCCTCAGCAACTCGCCATCTACAAACACTGCTAAATGTGGTAGCTGGAACGATCGCCGAAGTCAGACGTACTAATGTTAAGACCTGAACCAGTGTACCTAAAGAGTTTGGCAAGTGTTTTGCTACTGGGTCACCCATGCAGCCTGATTTTCTGTACCTTTAACGTCTGTGTCTGCACATCAGGGGAGAAAGTCAATTACTTTTTACTGTGGAGTGCGTTACCCAGGTTAATTAAAGCGTGACGTCATGTATATCTTCAACAGCTACACTGAAAAAGACACAATTCTACACCCAGGCTCTCCCTTTCCCTTCATCCCATCTTCCTTACACTGCCCTTTCCACAAACTGGACCATCTGCTTGCGAGCATGGGAGATGACTGGAGTGAGTGGAGCAACTGAGGTACCAGGTGTAGTGAGACCAGGAGTCGACGCGCCGGGAGTTGAGGCAGCAGGAGTTGAAGCAGCAGGTGTAGAAGCACTGGGGGTCCCACCTGGAGTGGCGCCTGGTGTTGTACCTGGAGTGGCAGGGGTCACAACCACCAGAGCCGGGCCTGGACTCTCAGCTCGAGGCTCCAGTCGCGGGGTGGATGTGACAAAACGGGCCTCCCTGATGCGGTAGGGGCTTCGATAGGTAGAGATGGGTGACAGCTCGGAGCCCCAGCCGAGGTAGCTCCCACTGGATGGAGACTGGGCATCTGCACTGAAGTACAGTGTGGTCTCTCCAGGGATCCCAAATTTTTTCTCTGGGGAAGCTAGCAGGAAAGGGGAGCGTCGCTCAGGAGACCAGCCAGGAGTCTTGATGTCCAGAGAAGTTACAGAGGATGAGGCCTCAGTCAGGGTCCCAGCGTTACTGTCGACATGTGGGAGGCTTCCTGGGTGCCGCGGAGATGAAGGTGTGGGTGAGCCATAAGCAGCGCTCTGAAACTCTTCATCACCTTTGAAATCACATTGAAAGCGTGTTTAAAACAATATGTACATTTCTTATAGAGAAAGCAATGGGGAACTTTTACAACAGATTTGTAACCATTAAAAAATCTAGATGTAAATATACTTCTTTTTTAAATTTATCACATTGTGAGTTTGAGCTGTCATCTTGGCAACAGCTGCAGATGTGCCAATAGTTTCCTTTAGCAAAGTTAACATTTCTAAAACAGTCAGCTCCCACTCGTCTGTGACATCTGAGTGGATATTTCTGAGTGTGTGCACTGCTGGCTGTGCTCAGTGTTTATCAGGGTTATAACCTTTGTCCTCTGACAGTGCAGCGCTGGACACTTCTTCAGTGCTCTCTTCAGGAATGACCTCCCGTACCGGGATAATCTCTGGAAGCCTTCTCATATCTGGCATCGTTGTGGGAGGAGCTTTTCTCACTGGTCTGGCCACAGCGCTGGTGGGAGTTGGTTTCGGTATCTGGACCACCGCTCTCACCTGAGGACAAGACACACAGCTGAGCCTCGGACAGTAACAAAGTGACATGCACAGATACGACATGTTGGTGGCAAATCTAGTCGCTGACACTGTGGTCACTGTTTCCAGTGGCCACATGGGTTGCACCACATTCTTATGCTGTCATACTCTCTTTTTTGCCTCGCTACATCCATTTTACTCACTGACACTAATCTTAAAGCCATGTTCTGAACTTTTAAGTGACTAGAATAGATTTTTGTTTATAATTAGTCTGATGGCAATAACTTTTATTTATGATTATTGGAATTCACTCTCTTCAAAGTTCTTTTCAACTTTCCCTAAGGTACTTGTTGACTATTGACTTGTTGACTTTTGTCGATGCGGCCGTTTGGAGCTGTGGCTGTAAGGTTTCCGGTGCCGGTCGTGGCGGCAATCCCCGAACCCGGTGGTGCACACCGGAAGTAAGGGATGCCGTCAAAGCTGAAGAAGGAGCCTGCTTGGCTTGTAGGACGCCTGAGGCAGCTGACGGGTACTGGCAGGCCAAGTGGGCTGCAGCCCAGATGGTTGCGGAGGCAAAAACTCGGGTCTGGGAAGCGTTCGGTGAGGCCATGGAGAGGGACTATCGGTCAGCCTCGAAGAAATTCTGGCAAACTGTCCGGCGCCTCAGGTTGGGGAAGCAGTGCCCTGCCAAAACTGTTTACAGTGGAGGTGGGCAGCTGTTGACCTCAACTGGGGACATTGTCGGACGGTGGAAGGAATACTTCGAGGATCTCCTCAACCCCGGCGCCATGTCTTCCGATGAGGAAGCAGAGGCTGAGGGCTCAGAGGTGGACTCGTCCATCACCCAAGCTGAAGTCACTGAGGTAGTCAAGAAGCTCCTCGGTGGCAAGGCACCGGGGGTGGATGAGATCCGCCCTGAGTACCTTAAGTCTCTGGATGTTGTTGGGCTGTCTTGGTTGACACGCCTCTGCAACGTCGCATGGCGGTCGGGGACAGTGCCTCTGGACTGGCAGACCGGGGTGGTGGTCCCTCTTTT